CTTTGACGGTTTTTAAGAGACAGGGAAACATATTTCACCCCTCCAGGTTTGCCCTTCCTCCTGGCTATTTGCTGGTTATCTCCCTCAGCTTCCCTCCTCCTGGTTACTTTTGCCTTTCCTTCTGGTTACTGTAACCAATTTCAAAAACAAAAAGTGCGCCTTACTTCTGGCTGGCCGACGTTATTCCGGCGTAGTTCTTTACTTTGTATACTGGTTGCATGAACTTTGCAGCACCCTTCCGAAGAAAATCTTAAAGTGCTGAGGCTGAAGTAATTCCGATGGTGATACACGTGTTCAGTGCTATAGCAGCGATGATTCGATTTTGGACCCGGGAGCTTTGGACGCCTGTGATAATCGAGAAATAACGTGTAAGTGGCATACAAAGTGTCGTGACTTATGAGTTACGTCAGCAATGAATTTGTATTTTGTATAAACAAGCATTTGTTAAAACAACGGACGACTTTTTTCGCTTAAATGAAAATATTTTATACATTTTGACGCAGATATACACTACGTATTACGCTACCCGCAGAAGTGAAACAAAATAGCAAATTTAGGTTTGTGAGCTGATATCTTGAGCCTCTCTGTACTAAATCTGCAGGCAATGAGCCCCTAGAAGATGAAACTTCACTTAAATAGCTTAACTTATCCTTAACCTAGGCTGTGTGTTTTGAAAAATTTATCCATGTATGTCCATGTCACAGTAAAAAAGAAAAATTATCTCATGAAATCTACCACATGCAAGAAAGAGGTATGTTTTCATACCGGTTTGCCTGCGTTACTCACCGCACTTATCATGTGTTTGTGATAAATTTGATGTGCTACGTACTAATTTGCAATACGGGCTGCACCTGCAGTGCTTTACTCACATTGCGTACATTACCCACCCTACGTACAAAGTCTGGCCTTGCTGTGTTGTAGTCACTTCGTAGCCCAGCAACTTTCCATGGCGGGCTGATTCTTGGTCCAACTGTTTTGCTCCTCCGCTCTTAGCCATGCTCCGGCTCCTGTATGATCGCCGCTGCTGATTTTATGACGGGGCAGAGCATATCTTTTATATTTCTTCAGCCCTGGAGCGAATTTCTGCACCTTGGTCAAATCAGGTGTGTTAACGAAACCCGTCTGATGCTTGATGAAGCGCGGAGTAACTTCTTACTAAAAAATGTCCCTCGTTGTTGAGGAATGTTACTTGACATAGGACTACAGCCACTTCTTACTCTCTTCAGCCGGATTCGACTTGAGAGCGTGGGCATTGAACCCCTGTGACAAAATTTACGTCTTTTCTCTTCATCAAACTGGCTGCAGTGCGATGGATTGATTCGTAGAAACAATGAGCCAAGAGGATTCGAGATGGAATCCTACAGCGATATTTTCTCATCGTGTACACGAATTTGAGCAGTAGACAGCCCTGCAGCATTCTTGCAGAAGGGGCATGCCTTTTAATATCTGAAAACAAACACTATTTAAGCTACACTTAGGAATGCTTGTGAAAGCCCGCATGAACCGTAAGACACTTGCAAATTTGTCAATGGAACTTAAATTCGGATGCGCTATGTAGGGAGTTTTGGCCTAATTGCTAGGGAAAGTTGTTACCAAGTCCTTACAGCAAACATTTTAGCTCACGTCCTCGTGCGAGCAGTTGTCACCGTTGTAACCAGGAGCGCACGCAGAATTTCACAATGGGGGAGCAGTGCTCAAAATGTTCACTAAAAAACTCCGGTTTTAGCGCGATACAGGCACGCGAAGCTTCTTGCGTGGTGCATAACAATATTACATATTTCCATGTTATGATTGTAATGCGCGTGCTTTGTTTGTGAGGACATCGGCATTTCCTGTCAAGCATATGAATGCATATGCAAATGTGATAGGAGTGCACGCCCCCGCCACCCCACCTCTCTTGAATCTCGAATACGCCTATGCTGTCGCATTGGTCAGCAATATCGTGCTATCTCCCCGCGGTGCTCGCCCTTCGTGCCAGGATGACGGGCAGGCGACGCCATATAGCCTCGGCAGCTGAGTGCGTCGTAAAGCTTCAATGACAAACACACACACACACACACACACACACACACACACACACACACACACACACCACACACACACACACACACACACACACAACACACACACACACAACACACACACACACACACACACACACACACACACACACACACACACACACACACACACACCCCACACACACACACACACACAACACACACACACACACACACACACACCACACACACACACACACCACACACACACACCACACACCAACACACACACCACACACACACACACACACACACACACCACACACACACAACACACACACACACACACACACACACACACACACACACACACACACACACACACACACACACGCACACAATATTATGTAATCATTGGAAAAATAAACAAGAGCGAAATGTGTGCGTGCTTGCGTATTTAATTTATCGATACAGTCTCTTCGGGCACGAATGACTCTCCGCCGTTCGGCTGGTCGCCATGTCTGATGAATTGAGCCGAAATGAGGGCTTAAAGAAAGCACATTGGAATTAGGGATGGGATGAAGGAGGTTCAAGCTGAGTAGCGGGTCAGGTTTTGGGAAAAATTATACAGCAGTTCGGGGTGCGTTCTTCTAGCAATGATCCCGTTTTCGACATGGAGCATCATGAACGTGGTTACGGAGCGTCTCCACGTCATGCCACATGGGAAAAAGTCAATGAAGGTACGCAACGATTGATACGGGTGCAATGGTCTCGCATGATGAACTATTTGGGGGGGGGGGGGGGCGTCTGCGCGTCTAACGCGTCTGCGTTAACCACTGCGCGTCTGGGAAACCAGAGGTACGGGGTTCGATTCCTCGCGGTGCCCTCCCTTCCTGCCAGGGTGGGAGGCAGGCGACTCCATATAGCCTCAGCAGCCGAGTGCGTCGTAAAGTCCCAATTACACACGATGAACTATTTGGCTAGAAGTTGGTGCGTTTGGTCTATCTTTGTCGGTATTCCTATCTGTTTTTGACTTCGATGTAACATACTCTTTACAACACCCTTCAGGTGTGATGCTTGTAAACGTGTGGCGTTGGCGCCTGTCCTGTATCAAAGTCAAGAGGTTCGCACAAACGACTTCGCAAGCTGCATGAGTTTTACTTCAACTGTGAGAACAATTTCAACTTGAACGGCGTGTCCTGATTAGACCCAATCGCAGCCCTCTCTAGGAGCTTAGTATATCCGCAGCCACTGATCGCAACTGCACGCAGTTTTCAACAGCAAGAAGCGCCTTTCTGCAAAAGTCGTGCGTGCTACGTATCCTGCATGCATTTGTTTACAAGGTTTCCGACGAGGCGTAATGTTACTGAAACATCGAAAATTTGACGAAATGTGGTCCCCTCTATTTCATTAACATACGAAGGGCACTAGATTACGCACGCAAAAAGCTGAAGACCACAAGTCAAATTGGTGATGGCACGACAGCGACACATTCTGATGAATGATAGAGCTCATGGCCGAAGCACGAGACGATGAGTTCGTGGGTGTTCTGGGTGATCTGCAGCTACACGTGTGCTCTGCGTGCCAAGTGCGTGACGTGCCAGCTACAAAACCACCCATTGGCGTGTTTCACGGCGGGACGTCTTTGAGGAAGCGTTGGTGTCAGTTCTCGGCAGACAGGGCAGATCAAAGCGTGAAGTCAACTGCATCGCGTGTGCAAATGCAGCGACTATAAGCCGCCAAGCGATCTGAACACCACCCAACTCAGATGTGAACCAGCAATCGTCTGGCAGCTCAGATGTGCGCCAGCAATCGTCTGGCAACTGAAATGTGCGCTAGCAATCGTCTGGCAAACGATCAATGCTACCTTTTTCAAAAACGATCGTAAAGGGAACTGTTCTCAGTTGAAGATATTGAAATGAGATAGCATAATAAGATTATGATGATATCAGATAGGATGAAATGAGCTCACTTACAGCTATTAGTATACTTGGAAGTGGAAAGGACAGCTTCAAACAACATAATTTTTATGTTTAGTAATATGCCTCCCGACATTGATTTATTGTGTCTCCGCACGCTGCACAACTTTGATTGAGAGCAAACTGACGGCCGTTTTATCTAGAAATCGTGCTCACGAATGCAAACGCGAACATTACGACAAATTTTCTTCTTTTTTTTACTGGCCTTAATCGCTGGGCGGCCAGTGACATCGCAAGGTTTGAATAACGTTATTGTAGCGTTGCGGATGTCTGGGTGACCTTGAAATAGTCTCGAAATAGTATGTACATCTTCGCGGGCGTGTACCTTAAAAACTAGAAGGGGGGTCTAGGTCTTGACAAGGGCAGGGCTGTGAACTGCACATAATGATCTTCAATGTGGCTGTTTGAGTCCAAAACCTCATGCAGATGTGGAACACTCATTTAACTATATCACGCTGTAGCCTAGACAGACAAAAGTTTAACAGCTATGTCGGCGTTGGCGAAAGGCCCAGTTTACTGCTCCCAAATCTTGCCTCATCCCCTAAGGAACGTTAACATTCCCAAAAATATATGTTATGAACTCAATGAACTGAAATCAGTTCCGATTTTTCGTTTTGGTCGCTATATATTACCCAACTGTCAGGGCCGAAGGCAGTTAATAAGTGCGCAAAATGTTACTAAAATAAAAAGCGAAACAACGGTGCATGTATGGTTGCGAGACCGTTGAATGAGAGCTAGTCCAAATTCACTGATAATCCATGCTTAAATGGACTTTCAAAGACGGCGCATTTATTCGTAATAATCTGGTTTCACCTTGTCACGGTACCCTTCTGCCTTCACCCCGACAGTTCCCAAACGGCAAAAGTCGTCTCTCGGGTGTAGTTTTGCTAAGTGACTTCGGGCGGACGAACAAGCGCTAAAGGCATACGACCTCCCCGAAAACTGGATCCAAACCTAAAACATCGTCCGACTGATCACGTCACACACTAGCTGGTCCTGCAGTGGGCCGGAATCGACTCACCGAGCCGCGAGCTGGAGCGGCCGGCGCCGAGATGATCCAGCCGGGGGTGGCGGCCGGCGCCGGGACGGCCCAGCCGGCGGGGACGGCGGCCCGGGCCGGCAGCGGGCCAGCGGCCGCCGCCCAGCCGAGCGCCAGAGCCGCGACCAGCGCGGCGGCCGTGACCAGCGCGGCGGCCGCCATCGTCAGAGTGAGCCGGCCGAGAGCGGACGCAGCGCCGGCGACTCCTCCGCCCACGCGCCGCCGCCGCCGCCGCCGCCGCCGCCGCCGGCCGGCGCTGCTGGCTACTCCGATGAAGACACTACCAATAGGCTTCGTGGAGACACTTCTCAAGGCGCAACATGGCGTCAGCTAAACATTCCTTGAATTGGAAATGGGAATATATATTTTTAAGCGAACGAAAATATTGTTAAGTATACGAAAAGATCAGGCGAAAAGATTTGGGTTGGCGTGGCTGCTAAAGACGATTTTAGATGAAGCTTCACTGGATTCGAGAATCAGAACTCTCTGCGTTTGCCCTCCTTTTTGTTTTACCTACGAATTAAACCGCTGCACTATGGGCCAGTTCACCTCTTCTGATAGTGCTCTGTGGCCCCTGGTAGTTCCCTGACAAGGTACATAGTTCATTAACGAGCTGTTCATAGGGTCATCGATAACCAGCAGCTGCATGATCTGGTTGGCGATGTTATACAGGCGAGTCCTGTCTAGCGCATTCCAATTGGTACACCGGTAGACACTTTTTGCGAGACACATGTGCCTGCGCTGAAAAGTCCGGCTGGAAGTGAACGCATGACAGTGACAGCTGCTGCACGGAGCAGTGCTCGGCACACGGATGCGGGCATAGAGTACCGCGGCTAGGGGTCCACGAACAGATCGGCTCCCTCATGGTAACGCGCAGCGATAATCTCAGCGTTTACTGGATGTCTAGAATTCGTGACTTTCAATACAGTGTGCGGGTGCCTGATCAGGCATTCGTCAATCCCGGCGACCTCAGTGACAGTTGCTTTATCTGGGAATACTTGTTCTCACTTTTCGCGTTTTCTGAGAGTCGGGTGAATTGTCACGTTGGTTGAGTGGAAGGACCACCGACAAAAACAGCCAAAGCCCCATAGTCACCATATTTTTGGGGGGGCCGGAAGGACTGATGCTGTTTTGTGTGTCTTAAACTTGTGTTGTGGAGAGGGGAGAGAAAGAGAGAGAGGGAGGGAGACAGAGAGAGAAGAGAGAGATAGAGGGAGAGAGAGAGAAAGGGAGAGAGAGGGGGAGAGAGAGGGAGAGGGAGAGAGGGAGACAGAGAAAGGGAGAGAAAGGGAGGGATAGAGAGAAGGGGAGGGAGAGAGAGAGGGATGGAGGGAGAGAGAGAGAGGTGCCTGTCTGTGGAGAAGGTTAAGCCGAGTTGAAAGTTGAAAGCGGAACCAAAATCCTACTTACCGGCAGTGGTGCGCCGCCCATTTGTGGTAGGCTGGCGGGATCGTTAAACCGTCACGACACTTGAATAAACATGAATGAACAAGAAAGCGCGTATTTAATAACTGGCGGTCTCTTAAATGATCATTCTGCTGAAAATTTAGCATGTTCTTCGCGCTTGACCATCTTACAGCATGGCAGCGTGGAAATAGGGGATGGGGCGGGGCTGAGACCCACAGCCTACAACCTGCATCAGATTTCGACGTCGTGCTAAAATCGGCCACCGCAGCGAATTCATTTCCGCTATTGTTTCGATGAAGGCATGTGAACCTGACGCTCCTGCCTGTTTGCTCGAAACGTACGCCGGCGCATAGACCAGTGACCGAACTACCCCCATGTACCATAATCTGCGCCCCTGGCGATGTGCGCGGCGGCAGGACGGTGGTCCTTTACATACCGAGCGGCGCCTCTCATTAATGAGTTGCCTGTGGATGTTCGATGACCGAGTTCAGTAGGTTTTAAGCGCGATGCCAGGCCTTTTTTGTGCGATAGGATAGTCTCATTCTGTTTATGCATTCATGATTTATGTGTTGTTACCCCTTATCACTTTCTGTGGTTTTTTGACGCATCGTTATATTTCTCAGGTTAAGGACGCGTAATAGCCACGAATGTATGTGGAGTATCAGCTGATGTCAAATACAAATACATGTTGCCGAAATATCAGCGCATTTTTAGTTCCATTCTCCTGTCTTTTATCCAAGGAATGAGGCTATTATTACTGTCTTATCCATGCGAAACTTAATCACACCAAACTTTGTGACGAGATTTTAAAGGCATAATAGTGTTGCATCAGAAAATTGCTTTGGCAGCAAAGTTCGTCAAAGTTGTCCTAAAAAATTGTCATTGCTTGTCCCTGGAGTACGATAATGGGTTAATAAATATGAAAATATGGTAAGTATATACAATATTATATAGGAACGTAGATGTAAGGACACTGTAATGTAAGGTATCTAAATAAAGCATGAATTTGGATGTGCAGTGAGCAGAAAAGCTGTGCAAAACTGCAGGGCTAATTACGTTCTAACCTACTGCAAATACATGACGATTAAAGGGGTGACAACACGCGATGGTTTTTTACTTAAAGCGTACAAAAATAGTAGCCGTACTCGGGAAATGAGAGATATCGTATTGTAATACGTATGCTACAAGTCGATATTAATTTTCAGTCAACCCTATAAAGCAGGTTAATAGACAAAGGCTGCGGCCATATGATGGTCCGATCACTTCCTAATATGGTCTTGGACGCTAGGCAGGGAAGGCATTGAATGTCCTCGGTCTGTATCGGGAAATATCACCGAGCGGACTTATGAACTCTGTCACATCGTGCTAATATTTGTAGTAATACAGGCATTCGAAGGTTAAACAACTTCAGTATGGTAAAAATTTGGAAAATTGATTTTTTTGTCAAAATCTGTGCAAAAGTATTTTTATCTCCTAAGAAGGCTAGCAGGATGGGGAGACTTTCATTCCTATCCCACGACAGAGGGATGCATCAACCCGTCTCCCCCCCCCCCCCCCCGTGGTGACGCCCCTGCTTTAGTGGTTCATTCCATACGCGGTGAACACAGCCATGACCGTGATAGTTTTTTTCATGCATGTATGCTTAGTAAGCTGCTAGTTTCAACACAGGTAACCGTCTCAGTTCACAAAAACCTTGCTTTTCGTGTCCTTTAAGCCTCAAGAGGCCCTACGTAGTCGCTACGTAGTTTCTGTTTCCCTCGTCAGGTAGCAGACCACCTAAGCAAGGTTTAATTGTAACTTGAAAACCTTTTTCGCGCAAGTTTGCGTAGGACGCAACGAAAATACATGATTGAAAATTGATGTTTTTATCTAGTCAAAAGGCAAATGCAAAACTCGACGAAGCATCCTTTGTGTCTCTGCACGCATGTTCAAACATGCGTTAACTACATGAATAAGTAAACTACATGAACTACTGGCTGCAGTTTTCGAACATAAACTATGTAAACATGCGTACTCCCGTAAAGCATTGTTGCCTTTATGCACAGACTGCTGTGAACCTCACAAAAAATGTTCTATCAGCTGAAATATTGTATTGATCGCACAGGCCTGTTCCCAAGAACATCGGCAACATGGGAAAAGGTAAAGTGAAAAGATAATTTAGCTGTGCTTGGATTGCTTACGGTTACCGCAAATCCGAGTAGCAATTAGCACACTTGTACGCATGCGCTGACATTTTTCCAGACGACACTTTGAGCAGACACGAAATTCACGAATGCAACAAAAGCGAGGTCGCATTTCAATCCGAAGCGACAAGACACAGTGAGAGCTTTGGTCCCTGCGTTTCACAGCCGGCAATGTTGGCAGGTTTGTTCCTCAGCGTTAGGCTTGTCTCAGAAACGGAGCTCCTCTCAGGCAGGCCTCTGCTCCTCCGGTCTCGTCTCGTTCTCAGCCATGGCCGCCAGCGTGTGCATCATCTCGAAGTGTAGAAAGAAGAGATTCTCCAGCGTGTAGTCCTGCTGGTCCAAACTGCTGAGGAAGGTGTTAATCCACACTGGGTTCGTGCACATGTCGTGTACTGTCGTATAGTCGTCGTGACTTAACGACTCTTGGAAACTCTGCACCATCTCGTAGAAGTTGCTCCAGTTGCCGCGCCGCTGCTTCTCCATCATGCGGTTGATGTCCTCCCGCTGTCGCTTCATCATGAAGGACTTCTTCCTCCTCACCGCCAGCTCGCGCTCTCGCCGCCGCTCCTTACGGAAGGTCTCGGTCGCCTCGCTGATATTCATAATGATGATGCCGATGAAGACGTTGGTCATGATAAAATGGCCAATGCAAATGAAACCTATGGTGTACAATCTGCTCCACTTGCCTGTCATGTCTGCGTCGTCAATGTTTTCTTGAATCGCAGTCCAGCCGTCTGCGGTGACGTACGTGAAAAGGGAGAGCATCGCTCTGCCCAGGTTGCCCCAGTCCTCGCGCGCGCTCTGGTCAGCGGCGAACTTATTGCTGCCGAAAAGGTAGTAGCCGACGACCCCGAACAGAAACATGATAAAGACGAGCAAAATGATGACGCTGACGACGTAGCGGCGTATGGTGTCGATCAAAGCGCTGACTAGAACCTGCAGGTTCGTGGAGAAGCTGACACTCCGCAGTGTCCTGAGCGCCTTCAGGGCGCGGAACATGCGGAACACCATAACACCACCCGCACCCTTCACAAACATCTCGATCACGGGCTGGCAGAGGGACACGATCACCAACAGGAAGTCGAACAGGTTCGAGAACTGCAGCCAATAGTTCTTGGGCTCGGCGTAGATGCGCAGTATAGCCTCAACTGTGTAGATAGCCAGCAGGCTCTGATCAATGATGGCCAGCTCCAGCTCAAATTCGTATCGCAGCGAAGGACTCGTCTCCAATGCCAGCACGACGGTGTTAAAGATAATCATTAGCATAATGAACCCGTTGAAGCGAGAGGACTCGGTAAGCACGCACACGAACTCGTGCAGATCGCTGTCCCAGCGGGTTGTGGCCCACGTCTCCTGCGGCTCCGGGGCTCGCGCAGCCAGCGACGCCCGTGAGTCCCGTGGCAACCTGTTGGCGACGGACGGCCTGTGCACAACGCTGGACTTTTTCTTGAGCGCTGCACTAGGATGATGGCCCAATGGCCTTATTGTACAGCTTGGAGGTCTTGATGGTGAGATCGCCTTCACCGGGCGCATTCAGCCTCATGTCATCGCTGGAGTTCATGAAGGCGACATTGGCGACCGAGGCCGTGGTGCTCGGATGCGACTGGGGACCAGAGGCGACCAGGGTCGGGACCCTGCTGGGCTTGGCCTCCACCAGGAGCCTCGCACTGGATTTTCGGCCGCTTGCCATGGCCGTGAGGAATTCTGTCAAGGCTACAGAGCAGACGATTCAGTGACAATTGGCTTTCAAGATAAGATGTTTCTCCAATGTCGCAAGGATTGCATGAAGTGTCAAAGACACCCAGAGCCACCAATAAGGAACAGCCTCGTGTGTACTGAGTGCCTGACCAGAAACTAGCTTCACTTGGTGGCGGATGAGAACGAGAGTGGTTCTTGATATCCTGTTTCACAGCAGTTGCACTGTTCTTTGGAGACGTCTGTTAATATGCACCCATTTGCTGATTTAACATGTTGTTAGACGTGTCCTCGGCTTCGAAATACATATACCGTCTTATGGCTGGCTCATAGACTTGCACATAATCATAACTTTCAAACATCCGAGAAATCCCCTCGTCTAAAAGTACGTAGATTTCCGGAAGCACACGGTTGATCCATTCGTCGATTTGACCGCTAAGCCACGTCGTCCCGTGACGTCATCGGTATGTACCAAGCGAAGCCGCCGTTGTCCGTGATGTTGGCTCAAGAGCTGCGCCGCGAAATGCGCATGAGTCGTCTGATTGGCCAGGAGTTGGTGACGTCAGTGGTATAAGTGGCTCTATGATCGCTGAAAGAATGGCAGGAACCTGGAACAAACAGACATCAAATTGCCGAAAAATGTTCACTGTTATCCGCTGGCACGCGGTAAAGATTAGCACCATCCTCTCAATGAACATGAGTTGTCTCTGTAGCGTGCAATGCAAGTCATGAGTCAAACATCTTCGCACGAACGCAGTCATAGTCATATAGTCGCAGCCATATAAAACTCACTGTATGCTTTCGTGTCGGCCATGGCTTAAGTGGACAGTATTTCAACCAAGGAAACATACTTAAATCTCACATGGCCGAGGAGATTTGGGGGCTCTGACGATATTGAGCACACTTCCCGAAACACGACTCATCGGAAGTGGGAAACGCGCCACGCGGATGGCTCGGTTGTGAGCGAGCAAACTAGCAGTTAAGTCTCGCAACTAATCGCGGAATATATGCGTTTAAATTAATGCTCGTTTTGATCGCATCGAGCAAACTTTGTACTCTGCACACCTTCACCAGCAGCAGCCCAATTCATTGTATGATATACTAAAGGTGGGTGGACCTTTTCAAAAAACAGGGCTCACCCTCAATGGGACTGCATAATGTAATCTGTGTTAGATATAGTCTGAAACAATTGCAGGTACGCCTGTTAATATGCGAGCCGTTCAAAAGTGTTGCCCATGGTAACCACGTTCACATAAGTGTGACGTGGTCACCATGTTTGGGTGAGAATGTTGGGCTTGAACCGTGTCCCGGCAAACGTGTACGTGACGGGCGGCGACGGCATTGACACGTGCGTGACGCACAGCGATCGTCTTCAAATGCGTGTGGTGACTGGCCCGGCCAACGCCACCGACCGCCGCCTGGACGGATGCACGGTGATCGGGTCCTGTCCGCCCCCGACGGACGGAGGGGAGGGGGATTTCGCACGGGACTGCCGGGGACAGCCGGAACCTGGAGGGTGCTCGTTGTGACGGGGTGGGCGGCGGAGGCCGCCCCGGGCTGTCCAGGCCTCCACCCACCTCTCAGAACGAATAGGTCAGCCATCCTGTGACGCGAACCTCCACCGGAGAGGAACTGAGCCAACGGCCAGCGGCAATACTTTGTCAGGAGTTTGATGAACAGTTTGCCTGGGAGTACGAGCGAGCCGTCTCATCCCACTTACCGCTACATCCATCATCACGAGTGTCGATTTGCATCATGCTGGATGGGTCACTACCCTCCCCCCCCCCCCCCCCGGCGCCCCCCAACTGTCCAATCCGGCTCACCAACGGGAAGTTTGGCATCCCAATCTTCTGGAGCCTAAGAACAAAGTAAACTTGATACTAAATCTAAATTAGAGTTAAGAGTAAATATGGTCCTTCATTACAGCGGCAATGAGCTTACTTCAAAGGCATGCTGCTTGCAGAGAACAGAATTCACATACTCGTTTCATGTGCACGCCACTACCGCTTATAATACGGGCCTAAGCGCAGCCAAATGTTTTCGAGCGTGACACGTTTGGCTGGCAAAAACGACTGCGGTATGAGCTGGATCCACTCGAGTCAGGTGAAAGCGATGCTCGTGAACCACTGGTGCTGCGTTGGTCCCCCTCTGCGTCACCAATGAGCGAAGCAAATTTTCAGCCACTATCGCGCGCTGAACCTGCGTTCAGAGGAAACCCGAGCGGTGGGGAGGGGGGGGGGAGGGTCATAAAAGCACCGGCACCTTTTGATCGTTTGATGATTTGATGGCCGTGATATGCGATGAGAACCCACTCATGACAGACACAAAGCATCTCCACTTGTGCCACCGAGCAGCCTACGAGACCGCGGTGATGTCGCGAAAGATTGACTTTTGTTTTATCGTAGTCTTGAAGCACGTGGGTACCAGTTTTTCCATCATGAAGGCCGCATTTTAGCAGCATATTTACTAGAAGTTGAAGACATGGTCTTTCATATGCAAAGTTAAAGCATGAACATCTCCTGGAAAATCACTCGCCACTCAAATGACACTTTAAATGGCGCCAACGCCTAAGCTATAATACACCCTTGCTGCATTTGCCTGGTTTCCATTCGTCACAGCAAATGCATATGCTGTAAACAAAAAAAATACTAATAACATAACGCAACACGAAGCTGCTGGGGGCTATAGATATAGAACATTTGAACTAAGATTCCTGGTAACTGCGGCAGACATGTTCAACTTTGCTGACGTCTTGCGCGGGAAAGTTGGTCCAAATCCGAGGGATGATGGTGTAAGGCATCTGATCTGCCCCGGAATGTATGGAAACGGCCACCCTACTTTCGAATAATTTCACAATTCACAATTCCGCAGCTACGATCCCATAACCATACTAAGCAACTAAATAAGTTATTAATGGCTCCTCTCTGCAGCGTAGTTATGCAACGCAGGGAAATAGAATGTTAAATTATACTACCGATGATGGCGCGCTCGGTGTCTGCCCTGACTGTTATGTTTTGCGTTTGCTCTGCCTGAACGTTTAAAAAAGTGGAGAAACCCGTGACCGCCTGATTCGATGAGAATTGGGAGGGCCAACAGTTGAGCCCCAAAGTTTCTTAAACAGATACAACGGTTCCAGTCTGGCTCCTCCAGCCTTCACAGTCAGTTATGAGGTTTCGTGCACTGTAAGATGTTGTATGTCGTGTCATTATGCCATACATACGTCAGTACAAACGCTACATTTCTAAACTAGGTACCTCCACAGCCCAAGTGTAATCGAAAAGAATGCAAATCACATTCAAGGCAAGTTGAGCTAACTTGCAACAAGAATGGTTCATAAGTCTAAAAGACCTCAGGCGAGTCAAAGGGGTCCCAGACAGTCAAAATATGTCATCGGATACTCAAGCAGCTGCCAGTGTGACCCGTGATTACATGGCACGATTACCGCCTTGGAGCTATTTGACTCACTTTCAAAGGTTTTAAAGGGTTCATTCAATTTTATGTATTTACCAAGAATCCAATTAAACTCGTTCCCGTGGGAAGGCTCTCCATCGCTTTTTGCACAGTGCACACGTATGCTTAAACTGTGCACAACGTAGCTCCAGGCCTTTGCGTCGAGTTCACATTATCACAGATTTTCTTCCATGAATGAGCACGCCCTTCTATCTTCTAACACAATTACTGCTCCGATCACAGGTTTTCTTGTATGAATGAGCACACCCTGCCGTCATGTGGTACAATTACTATGTCTACAGATCTGCACCGGTCGCACGTTCCCCGACACGACCAACCGCTGCCCTATAAACTCAAAACGACAGCACATTTACGAGCCAGCGTAGGCGCACGGCCTTACTTGTGCGTTGTGTGTCGTACTTTCCACATCAACTCACCATGCTGCAGAGTTATGGCGATCCGCCGTGATACATCCTTTGTCGGACGGGAGGTTAATCAGTAGCATCGTCTATGCCTCAACGTTGACACTCGTCGTTGCTACACGTCAAAGTTATCGTTGGGACGGCCGAACGAAATCGAGAAGAAAATATACAGATAGCACGGCGCTTCTAAAGCCAACCTGAAGGCTGAATGTCTAGCACGCGCGCTATAAAGTAAGTCTTCCGGAATATCTGCCTTGTGCAATTAAATGGGCATGCCGTCGCCTTATGTTTCGGATTCGGTGTCAAGAAGTGGTTCGGAAGTTACGAAGGCTGTAACCATGTCAGGCAGTGGCATATGCTCCATTTCCTTCCTTCTTAGTAGCATCTCTTTCACATTCTTTGTTCGACCCTGCGCTGGTTTTGACCTCTCCATCCCTCCCCACCCAACCAACTCCTGCGCGACAAGCTCCGACATGTCCGCGGTACGCTACAGAACGACACGGACACTCGCGAACCTTCCCGACGACCGACCGGTCAGTACAGCCTGGTGCAACGACTGTTCCCACGTGCGGGACGACAAGCAGGTTGACGCGAGTGAAAGCAGAAGACAAGCAGGTTGATGCGAGTGAAAGCAGAAGACAAGCAAGTTGACGTGAGTGAAAGCGGAGGACAAGCAGGTTGGCGTGAGCGAATCTGTTCCCCTGTGGTGATTTCCACGACTTAAGCCCCACCCCTCCTCCCCAACTATTTTCAGAAATCGACACGCCCATAGCCTGCATTATGGCATGACCGATAAGATGTGGAACTTGTTAAATACATATGGTGCGTGCAGGGCAATTCGGCTCCTTGCGGTCCCATTAAATAATGAAATGTGGCACGTTGCCCTTTGATTTTTTTCTGGATGGTGATCTCATTTCTGACGTTTCATGTTATTTTCATCCAGGCGCTGACAGCGAGGCGGCGGGCGGTACGGCAATCTTGTTCTAGTCATAGCGGCGGTATCTTGCCATATCGGCGGTATCTCGTCATATCGGCGGTATCTTGTCATATCGGCGGTACTCTTGCCTTGTCATAGCGGCGGTACTCGCAAGAAGGCGACCTAAGTAATTATCATGGGCGTCAGCGCGTCCAGGATGTCATTGTGACGTTAAGATATGGTGATTTAAAATAAAATGGTCCGAACAATTTGATTGGATGCACTTCAGGGACCAGAGTTCATGGTAAGCAGTGTTTGCTGTGTGAACCGTCATCCGTTCATTTACCGTCATCCGATCGTTTAGTCCAACGGCGACATTGTGTGGCGAAAGCGCCACAATGCTTGCCACACATCTGTCATTTGTAACTGATGCTCGCTTCTCGAAGTGCCAGCTGCTTCAATGTTCGGCACGGTCTGACGCGCCCGTCAACCTCATCTGACCTTGAGCGGCCGCTGCCGCCGGAGGTAGGTCATCTCACTCTGGGGCATACGCGAAAGGCGAAGCAACTCGAACCCAGCCGCCCGCCGTGGGGAGGCGGTTTAACCGATTCAGCTACGGGGCGGACGGTGGAAGTGTGTCCCCACAGCATTGGTTTTTCCTCAGTGGGAAATGGAACGCAGTCAATGTTTTTGCAATTTGTGTGCATACATCACCAAACAAGGCGACCAATCCAGTTGTGTACAGTCATTTGCGTCTCAAAACGTTACGTCTTCAGCGCTTCAGCTCTTCCGTTCGCCGTCAGCAGAACAGCACACAGGGGATGCACACGGGACCTCGTTCGATCATGGACTATCTCCGATTCCGATAAGTCACTCTGTCACTCCTCCCAGGAACCACCCCGTCCCTACGGAAATCCTGCGTGCCTATCCGAGCCTATTCGCCAGGCTATAGTGCCCAGAGAACGAGACACTACGGGAGATTGACGGCCACGGGGACCGGAACTACAGATGCAAGTGAATCTCGGATACTGTAGCCGGAGTTGGGCTTCACCCGAGGTGAGGTCGGAATCAACTCCCAAATAAACCAGATCTTTGTTGAGTCAGGCTGGAGTCGACTCCTTCGAAAGCTGAATAAGTCGGAGTTGCAAAGCAACTTGGCGGAAGTTAACTCAGAGAGAAGTGTACGCAGCAGCGCACATTCTAAGTCTGACAAACCACATATGCACGAAATGGCGCACAGTTTGCCGTATTTATATCAAAATAAATGTTTTTAGGCGTTTATGAGTGCTCAAAAACGTCTCCTTGCAAACTCCGTGGTCGTTGGAAGCAACTCCAGTTGAATCTATTCCAGAATTTAACTAAATCTCGAGTAGAAATCGTAAATAATTCAAGGCCGCATTGCGCCGCTCAGAATAAGAGTCCGTAGCAGTCTCATGCGCTGAGAGTCGGTATTTCTACCTCCCAATTTGAATTGAGCGCGACGAATTCATTCAGCGCAGTCTCATGCGCTGAGTCGGTATTTCTACCTCCGAATTTGAATCTAACACAAATCTGAGCGCGACGAATTCATAGTTGTCGTTGCTCCCAGCAACGCCCTTGAACGGCCTTGATCGTCACCTCGCAGCCGTTTTCAGGTGTGCGGCAGGGGAATACTTGTTTTACGCACCCGCCTCACCAGATGTCAGTTTCAAAGGTTCAGAGGTTTCAGTGCCAGTTTCAGAGGTGCCAAGTTCAAAGAAATACCGGCGGTCAAGAGCAAATCCGTCACTGTGAGCCCCACATCGGTTATCTATATAGATAAAATCAAGTTATAAGGATATAGGGCGGTAGGTCAATGTAGGCAAACTTGTGCAATAATATAACTAAACTGGCATTCTGAACTGGTGTACCCATCTGTAATTCCCTCATGGGTGGCGCAAGTTTGTGTACAACACTGTCAGGGCTTACGTCAGCGCAGTGTACAGCGCATCGTAATACAAGGTCGCGAATAAGAACGTGAGCTCCAACCGCTGCTGTCCTCGCGGCTCCTGTACGAACGTGTCAGAGCACGTGCCACGCGTACATTGCTCTCTCTCAAGACCAGTCAGCACCCCAAGCGGACCCAAGAAGTCACCGGCCGAAACTGTGTACACAGAATACCTCCGACGAGGATAATCGTCCGCTTATCTATTCCATTGATGCGTGTCTTTAAACAGGCACTCGGATGGGGGTGGGGGCGAATGGCTCCCCGAAGTTTTCGCCCAGTATAATCCCGGCCGCGAGGCGGAGGCGCGCCAAACTTGCGTGGTTGTCGGCACTTGAATGACGGTTCTTCCCGTTACAAAACTAGATGCACCTTGCAAGGTCGCTGAGCTGTAGCAGGTCAGTCATGTCGTGGTTACCAGTGAAGAAAATTCCTGGGGGTTCCTTTAATCTGATGCGACAACGGAGACGAAATCATATATTGCTGAGATAGTTGACGTTTATTAGAGTTCAGGGGCGCGCCGACTGCGGTGGTCATTTGGCGCCCAGCTGAGATAGTTCCGTAGGCAACTGACCAATTCTATTTACGATAACAACTAATCCGCTGACGAGTGATTGTAAATGTCGGACCAAGGCCAAAACGGAACCGTTTTTTACTGGGGAGCTTCTTTTATGACGTAGTTTTGTATGCTCACTTTGATTTTCTTGACAAGACGCGAACAGATATCTTACTTGGACTTCTTGTAGGTCAGAAGTCCCCGACCTGAAATTATCCCGATCAACATTTTGTTTTAAATGCGTTACTCCGAACGTAATCCTTCATGCTTACCTCAATGACAAAATTAAAATAATTTCTGCGATTTATCATCGAAGCCATCTAAAGATCAAACAAGCCCACTGGCCTGAGGTGAACACCATTGATCTGTTGCTTGGAGCAGGTAATTGGGGGAAGGCAGTTGCCATAAGGAGGTCTAGAGGCACTTCGGGACACAGATCTGGAGCTTGACCTTGTTTGCGCTTATTTGACCCGAAGGTCATGGCTTAGAGACCTCAATAAAATGTCACAGGTGGGCTCGCATGCAGCCCTACCTACCCTGTGCATTTGGTATCTAGCTCTCTTACTTCTTAAGACATCAAGGGGGGGACCAAACTGACCCCACCCCACTCATGAGCGTCACACTTCACCGGCCGCCCGCGCGCGTGTCAAAATTGCATTCAGCGAATTTGACACATTGGTGCTTCACGGGATTGTACGTATAGCATCCAACTTGCCATAATACGCATTACTAGACTGCAGCACCGACTCTGCCACAGCTGAAGCGAAAGCCATGACGATCGACTACTCCCGGACATGTCGTCAGTCGCCGCACGGGATCCCGGCCGTATCAATTTTTCGGCGAACAGGCCGCTGTGAGGAGACGAGTGACGGAGGTCGAGGCGCGCTAACGAGCCGCCAGGAGCTGCGTTCGGACACCGCGCACCAGGCACGGGCAGGCCGCATCGGCCGGCGCTCGCCGGAATCGCACCGCGTCAAGGCCCAGCGTCATGCCAGCATGTGGGCAGATACATAACGTTGGTACTTAGCAGGCGCCTGTGTAGGGTTTGTGAGAGCAAATTCCATGGCTTCAATTGAATTCAATTCAAATGGCTCGAAAAGGCAACCGCCAAGTGACGTCCGCGGAATTTCTCGAGGGTCCGTCTCGACCCAGCAGTCCACGGGAGCACGTGGTGATCTCCGAGCGAGCGACAGGCGGTGGCAGCGGCGTCCAGCCGTCTGCCTTCTCGCCGGTGCAGCGGAGCGCCGCTGTCGCGCGCCGCACGGCGCCTGACCGCCGGCTGACTCTGCCGGCCCGTCCGGCACACAACCGCCTCTGATGACGTCGCGTTGTATTCAGTGACAAGAGCAGCGGCCTGGGAACAGGACGTGTCCGGGTGCAGCGGCCGCCCACGCGGCGCACGGACGGGGAGGCGGGCCGGATCAGATGTTGGCGATGAGCGCCTCCAGCTCCTCTTTGGAGTACATTTGGAAGTTGCCTTCGGGCGTCACGGTGGCCAGCTCCACGTTGGAGGCGTTCAGCTTCTCTTCCATCACCTGTTTGAGAATGGTGAGTGCAGACTTGAGCGCCTCCTTTAGCGTGATTGACTGAAAGACACGGGGGTGCCGGTTAACATTATGAGACAGGACACAGGACACTGGAGGGAAGGGGGCACTACGTACACGGTGGCACGGACAGCACCAAGAACGAGACACGAGCACGCTGGCAGGCCGGCGCAAAAGTTAGTGCGAGGCTCAGACAAAGACGGGTGATTTCACACATGCTGAATCGATCAAAGCGAGCCACTGACTTTGACCCAATGAACGAACAGGCCTTTCAATACGGTGAACCATGTCTGCTGCAACATTTGAACACGCACCCCGCCTGTTGCGATCGTCCAGTGGGCTATTTTTAACGCTGGCGATTTTTTCACGCTCATGAAAACGTTCATACGCACACTCCTGAAAGCCATATGAACGGAAGCATCCCACCACACGCCCTGCAACTGTTCAGTCAACGTCCCCCTGAGCGGCAGGCTGTGCGAAGATCGGCTACATTTTCCGCTTGCATCACGTGGCGGCATGCTTGCAAGGGGTGCTCCCAGCCGAGGTCTGACGAATGGCTTAATAACCAGAGCCCCGACCGACGATCAAAGGCCGGGCCGGCCGGCTCAGCTGGGGAGAGCGGCCTACACCAACAAATCACACTTGATGACGGCCTCGAGCCCCCCAAGTCGCGAGAGGCGGCACTCGGTCGGCGCGTCGCAGCCCAGGCCACAGCCATGCTCTGCAAAGGCGGCGTGAGGGGGACCGCAGCCCCGCGCGCCCGCGCCGGACATGGACGCGGCGGCCACCGTGCTCCACCGCGCCAGCTGAACACCACAGCGTCGCACGTCCGTGACGTGACGGATGCGACGCTGAGCGCCCTGACCGCGCCAGGCGACGCAAACAGAAGCGGGCTGGTACCGTGCGAGGCGTGTGATGACCGACGACACGGCCGCCCGCAGTCTGAGGGACAACTGCCCTTTCCATCGGGAAAAGTGCAGCTCTCACAAGCGAGCGGCTTCGCGGGACATGAGCCGGCCCGCCGCAGAAACAAACAATCGACCACGAGTTGTCGACGGCGCAGGACTGAACAGACGCCTTCCACGAACGCTCCCAGTGGCGTCGACGAGGAACAGGACGCAGGCGTGATTGGATCCTGCGTCTCAGAGCACGAGTGAGCTATAGCCGCGAGCGAGGACCCCACGCGCGGTGATCATTAACAAGGCGGCGACACGCTAAACACGGCAGGTTGGAGCAGCCAACACCAGGCCGCCATTGGGTAGCGTTCGGTGGCGGCGCGAGCGACGCAATCACTGTCGTGGCGTGCGGAGCCGGCAGCCAATTTAGGACGCTGGTGGGTCGGGAGTCAACAGCGCCGCCCTTTCAGGTGCCCGTCCCTTTCAGGCGGCCGCCCGTCGAGCGACTAATGCCGGCCGCGAGTCGCATAGGGGATGGCTGGCATCGTGGGGACCCTGACGGCATGGACATCATTACGACCGGCCGGCGGCGGCGGTCCCGAGGCCGGCGATTCCCTGGCGGCGTCGGGACCGGAGGCGGCTTGTGCCGCGCGCTGAACGCCGCTGTCACGCCGTCCCGCCGTGTCACGCGGGACGACGGGGTGGCACCGCCCAGCAGCGGCGTGGCATCCAGCCCCCACACACGGCTGGACCTCCCTGGACTCGTCGGCATCACGTCGCGACTTTGGCCGAGAAAGACGTGAGCCAATTACTGCCGGCGATGGCGCTCGTTGGCCGATGACGTGGGCGCGGTAGCGTCCGTTTGATCTTACAGCCGGCGAAAACCCTCCCGGCATGGCGAGAGAGCGCCGGCTCCAGCACATGAACGAAGACGTCCGCGCGCGAAACGGCACACTTATCCGTTCCAGGAAGAAGCGGATTACGACGCCCGTTTCATCTCTTCCCGTAGTAAGGCGGTGTCCGGCTCGGCGCGTCACGCAGCTCGACGCCGCGCCGCGGACCGCCTGGCGTCCCGCTCCACGCCCGCCGCAGAGTCCACGCCGGGCGAGCGGAGCTGGCAGCGGGTGGAGCTCGGTGCAGCGGACAAGGCGCCTGGCCGGCGGCAGAGCCAGCCCGGCTGCCACCGCTCCGGCGCCCGGGTGCCACGACCCCACCGTTGACGACACCGGCGGCCGGTCGGCGCCCGCTTGACACGACCCACCCCGGCCTACACCGAAACCAGCTCTGGCAGATTGCCTCCGGCCGGCGGGCGCCCTCGAATAGCGCCGGTCCGCGGTCTCCGGCCGGAGCCGCCGGAGCCGCCGGAGCCGCCGGAGCCGCCCCGCCAATGGCCGGCTCAGGGGCGGACCGTGAAGGACTGCAGCATAGCCGAACCCAGCGTGAAGCTCAGGTGCAGCGGCGCGCCAACTTCACGCACGCCACGAGCGGGAGGACGAAGCCCGACAACGTGGCGCCATCACCACGCTCTCCACAGGTTGCAGGCCTCGCTGGGCGGCCGCTCACCTCGTGGTTGGTCTCCTCGAGACTCTGCTATGGGGCTCGCTGGGCGGCCGCTCACCTTGTGGTAGGTCTCCTCGAGACTCTGCTGCGCTCCCTCGCTGCCGGAGCCGATGGCCTTGGCGCTGTAGCGCACGAACGTGCCGGACGGGTCCATGTGGTACAGCTGGGCGCCGTTCTCGTCGATGCCGCCGAACAGCATCGCCACGCCGAATGGACGCGACTGGCGGCGCGAGGTCAGGCCCGGTCACGTGGGGAGGCGCGGACCGAGGACGCTCAGGTCATGTCAAGCAGAGCTGCCACGAGCAGGGGCTCTGGTTGTCCGTTAAAACGTCGTCAATGCGATGACACATTATCCGGCCACCATGACCTGCGAAGAAACACCATTATCCGGCCACCATGACCTGCGAAGAAACACCACGGAGGCGGCCCAGCCAGCAGACCATCGGCCGGTCAGACATGAAACGGAGGACGGCCGTGCGGTCCGTTCGTATCGAGCGGACCTGACAGGCGGACACCGCCGCTGGCGCCTCTTTAACTGCTCATTGCACGAAGTTTGCAAAAACTACGCGGCCTATTCGCCCTAGAACCCACAGCTGGTAAAAGGGATTGGGTCCCCCCCCAAAAAAAAAAATAACAGACCTGAACAAAATACCGCACATCATTATAATACTAAAACTGCACTGCTTGCTATCTGTTTTCCCTTAGCGTTGCAACAGGTCTGGAAACTGTTGGCTCTAACAGGGACCCTACGTGAGGGCAGTGCACAATGCTGCCACCAGCATTAGGACAGTGCTCGGTCACATGCTGACACGGTGCCGTCCGCTTAACAAAACAACAAAAATACGTAATAAAGGCAAATGGTGTCCCGTTGTTTTCCTTCCGGTAAGGTAGAAAACTGCTTTTTGGAACTAAAATAGTCACCTCGCTCCAGACAAAACTTAAGTTTGAGACCTGCTTTGCCTTTTGTCTCCAATGATTTAGTGCCAAATAGGCGCAGTCGGACTGATGAAGCAACTGTGAACTGAGCTCAATAATCGCTTGACCTAAGAAATGCCCAAAGTGTACTGCAAGGATAGGTAATTGATTCCGCCAATCTACCATAAACTTTGCATCAATGCTAGACGACAAACCTGCATTCAATTCTACAAACTTTTTACGCACGCGAGACCCTAACCTACGGCTCATGTTTTTCTGTGGTTCGCTGCAGCTGCGGTACATCTCCGCACCTTCCAGAAACATTTCATTCGCAAGAAACCATGCCGGCAGGCAGGAACGATGCATCTCAGTTCGACGACCACTCAGAGCAGGAGCCGGCGCTGACGAGCTCGGTGGGCCGGCAGCCCCAGATGGCGGCCCACCGTGTATTGACCACGGCCGTCTCCGCGTCCCACAGCCCCAGATGGCGGCCCACCGTGTATTGACCGTGGCCGTCTCCGCGTCCCACAGCCCCAGATGGCGGCCCACCGTGTATTGACCATGGCCGTCTCCGCGTCCCACAGCCCCAGATGGCGGCCCCGCCGTGTACTGACCACGGCCGTCTCCGCGTCCCACAGCCCCAGATGACGGCCCCGCCGTGTGCTGACCATGGCCGTCTCCGCGTCCCACAGCCCCAGATGGCGGCCCCGCCGTGTACTGACCACGGCCGTCTCCGCGTCCCACAGCCCCAGATGGCGGCCCACCGTGTACTGACCATGGCCGTCTCTGCATCAGCGTCGCCGAACTGGATGGCCAGGTTGGAGACGGCCAGTGCCACCGACTCCACCTTCATGCGCTCGTTGTACATGAACCAGTGGTTCTGCGCCTCCACGCGCGCCCGGTCGATCATTGTGCGTGAGTCGGCGATCAGGCCAGACACGGCGCAGCCTGCCGGTCAGACGCACCAGGTCACTACAGGTCACCGGGGCATATGGGGTCAGCCGGCCCGACACGACACAGCCTGTCGGCCAGCCGCAACCGGTCACTGCAGCTCACCGGGACATATGGGGTCAGCACAGGGCACAAGCCACACGGGGCCAGTTGAGTTCACAGGGGTCAGGGCTCACTACAGGTCATATAGGCGCAAATGACCTTAGTATTCGGCGCGCCCTAGAGACCCAATATTCATCATGGACACAGGTCACAGGGTCACTGTGGGTCGCACGTAACGGAAACGGCACATTTTTCCGGGGAGAAGCACGGTGTCAAAATGGATCAAGGGGCCCACGGATGGACACTCTAACACTCCAGGGTCAGCGCAGGTCACAATACATTCTACAGACGGACACATCAGACGAAACGGCCAGAATCAGTCACGTGGAATCGCAAAGGTCGGCACGTCCACACATCAAGGGACCCACAAGTGCCTGCACATTTCGCACATTGTCCACGCAGTGCATGCGGCGTACAGAACGTGGTCGGTGGACCCACTGAGCGGCAAACTGTCATGGTGAATGGGCAGGGGGTATCGTACTGACGGCAGTAACTATGTCATAGGCCAGAGTTGAAAGAATGTGGTACGCTCATATCCCTCCATGCCGTTTTAAAATGGGAAATTACCATGGCAATTTTCTGTCACGTATTTGTGGAGCTAGAACTAGATAGGCGCATGACGCTAAAGAACGCACCTGGGATACCGCATGCAGAAAAAGAGCAAAAAGTTTCAACTACGTTTCAAGTCTAAAGAGCTGGTGAACAATGGACACAGCACTGCCTCACTTCAAGTATGGTCAGTCCCATCAATGCGTTGGCCAGCGTGCGCAGAATGGAAACCAGGGTAAATCATGTTCGTAGGGTATCGTTTAAATGATGCGCACGGGGTCTACTATCAAAATTACCAGGAAGCCTCTACACCAAATACCGAATTCGAGCTCTTGAGATGTAACTCAAAAGCACTATATTTACATCACGAATGTGATAGCCCTGCCGGAGCAACATGAGTGTACGATAAAGTTTTAACTTAAAAAGATAAACTTCCTTAAAGGGAGTGTCCCACATCTTTATGTGGTTTTGAACTGAAAAAGCCATCTTAGAGAACTTTCAGCACCATTCGCAATCATGCCCTTTTTAAGACCTGAACCCCTCTAGTTTCTGAGCGACAGGCCCGCCAAACTCGGCAGGGTATTCCAGGGAGAGTATTTCAAAGTCGCCTCGGCATTCATAATGTGATAATAACGCCATCCGAATCCTGCAATTCTATAAGCCATGCGGTGTTCACGGCCAATAAAAACATAATTGTCGAGGCGTTCACATGTGGCGTTTGTGGGCGCAAATTTCCAGATATAATCGCTGCCAATTGACCCTCAATCAGTGTTGTGCAAGGTACGATGACGTGATCACACCAAGAAGCGTCGAGGAGCACATAAACTAAACAGTAAATTCTGCTGTCTAGAGCAGACTTTTCCACTTGAGAGCTTATCAATAGCTATAAATGAGCCTGTTTCCTCATAACCGATGTTTGCTTCAATGTCTTCAAATGTGAAACATTTCCTTTAAACTTAGGGTTTCTGAACCCTCAGCCCCATTCGCACAGCAAAGAGGAGGCCGGGATCATCTTTAACCATTGCAGCTGGTGGCACCCAAGTCGCTCAGTCAAAGCACGTACAAATAGCACGGCTTCCAAACTGCCCACCACCTCAGGAGAAGGCATGAG